TAGAAGCAAAGTATAAATTCTAGAGAGCTATTTTATAAGAGTGAAAGGAAAAGAGAAAGAGAAAGAAGCTTGGACCGGTGTAGGCAATTTTACCCGACTACGCGCAGACCGGCGGATTTATTTTAAATCCAAAAAGGCAAGTTATTATCTACTTTTCCCCTTTGAATTAATAAATTAATTGTTTAGCTTATTTTTATGCATAGAGCCAAGGTTTGGAGGTTAATAAATTATTAATTTTATTTTATTAAATTAATGGAATTTTAATTATATAGGATGGTATATATTTATTTAATGTCCTATGAAATTAATAATGGCTAAAAATAATTAAATAAGACTTTAGGGATTTTTCTAGAATTTTCTAGATTTTTTCGGGCATTTTCTGCAATTTCCGGCGACCTTCCGGCGAGTTTTCCGGTCGCCGGCAGTGGGGGAGACGACCGGAGTGATCCGGTGCGACGCGGCACACCATAGGAGGGTGTACGCGCGCATCCTGGCCATTAGTGGAGTCTGATTGATCCGGTGCATCGCGGTCCATGATACCGCGGTACACCCGGATCTGTGGGCGTTGGATGGAGGGAAGATAGGGTGAGATGATCCGGTGTGACGCGAGTACGGAATCCGGATGCAGCCAACCAACCAGGAAGTGACACGTCAGCAAGGCACCCTTAGTGCGCGCGTGGCAGCGCGTGCGCGCGCGTGGGAGCGCGTGGCTGATGCCAGACGCGCGTGGAGGCGCGTGGGAGAGTGGGGAAGGTTGGGCTGCGCGTGGGGAGGCTCTGGGAGGCGCGTGAGGGCGCGTGTGGGGTCCCTACAGCTGCTGGAAATTACCAGAATACCCTTAGGGCCTGTTTTGTAAATTCCAGAACCTTAAACTTGGATTTTTAGGTACTGTGTTGGTAATTACGGGTTTAACGGGCCACGAAATTATTATTTTAACACCCGTTACTTATTCTTATGGCCGATTAATCTTTTCTAAGCATTTATTGGCTCGTTCGCAGTACGGATACTAATGTGATTTATTTAACGACATTGTTAAATATAAATAGTGTTATTATCGTATTTAATGGTATCAAACATTACTGTTAAATTAAATAAGGCCATGGTTTTAGTCAGATAAATTATCCATGATATCTTATAGGATGTTTATACTGTTAATTGATATATAAACCATGATTATTATGCTGTGTGCATTTCAGGAAATAAATGGACTGTTTAATTATGTCGCATTTATATTATATGGATGTGTTGCCATATAGAACCATATGAGCTGGCTAATAAGTTTAGACTCATTTATACCTTATGCATTCGTTGCGATAGACAGATGTGTGGCTGTCGGGGTATGTGGTTTAATATTATTGGCATGTGTTGCCTAATTGACATACTCGGTATATTTATTAATATTATTGGCATGTGTTGCCTAAATTGACATTCTCGGTACATTTATTAATATTGTTGGCATGTGTTGCCTAATTTATATGCTCAGTATATTCATCAGTACTTTGCGAGGTGTTATCACTGTGTAGTTCGTTATAGTCTGTGTTGTCAGTACCGTACACCATGTATAATAGCTGATTTCCCGGGTAGGGAAAGGCGACACTTGACCACCTAGTGTGAGTCTAAGTGATCACCGTCTATTCTGGTTGAGGTCATGTTATACATCGGATAGTTCCCGTAGGATGTATACAGATATAGTACTCATCCGATTCATAATGATTAATTTATTTGATTCTCTGATTTGGGTCATAGTAGAGAGGACTTGCTCGTGGGGTTGACCCACCATTGTTGTTATTTCAGGATACGGTCAGTATCCGTTTCAAGGCTGAGGTTAGCAGTGTGGGACCATCATCCGAACTCATCTACTCCTACGATCCAGTGCAGGGTAGAAGTTTTATGTAGTATTTCAGTTTCAGTTTTTATTTACTTTTGACGTTGAACTCTCAGGGTTATATTTAGGGATCCCTGACGTAGGATTTCCAAGTTGTAATGAAGTACTGTATTAAATAAAGGATGGATGGATGTTGTATTATTTAGTGTTCCTTTCCGGTCTAAATTCTTTTATTATCATCATTTTGTATTCCATGCTTGTATATTGCCAATTGTTTTTGATATCCCTCGTTTTTCGTGTATAAGCCTGATCAACTTATGCGTGGAAAATGTGGGGGTGTTACATTTACTCAGACTTTTGATGTAAGTATTCAATCTATTAATTGCATGATATATCATATTTCATTTTTTGCATAAAACTTGTCTCTATGTGATAAATCAAGATTTATGAATCAAAATCCCTCAAAAAGTTTTAAAACTTGCACGTTTCCCAACAATTCCACCACCCTCCTATAAAAATACCACCTTCAAATTCAACCATTTTGATCCGAACATGGACGATATTATGTAAAAACGAAGGAAAAGCATATACCTCAAACCAAGTCATCCGACTTACAACAAGGACCTTAATGTCGGCGTCGAGCCACGTACTAAGCTAAGCACAAAAAAGACTAAAAATCTAAAAAATGCAAAGCATAGTTTTGGGACAATGCCACGGGAAATATTGCAGATTTGAACACCCATTTGATAGTATAAAGTCATGCTAGAAATTTTTAAATGATTTATAAAGAGTTTGCATGAAAATTGAAGTAAAATTTACCATTGATTAAGAACTGAAAGGGCAAAAGAAAAACAAAGAAGGGGTTCAATACACCTCCTCAATTACATGACAATCATGAACTTGATATTCTTTCAATCAACTTACAGCGTATACAGAAGTTATGTAGATGCAGAGGAAGTTGCAAAAGATGTGAAAATATTTTTCTTTTCTTTATTTTTTCCGGTAAGGTAAATTTTTGTATTGAATGTATAAAATGTACAAAGAATGCCAAGAAGCCAGACTCAAAGACAACAACTACAAAAGCAACAACTGGGAGAACCCAGAACAACCAGCAAACAGCAGGCAAACAGGCTATGTTTCAAGCTAACCTATCATTGAACGTTATGAACTAGCATTCTACGAGATGATGGAGCTTGGAAGACTCCGTAAGGCTGCAACTTCTTTGGACTCTCTACAATCGTCAAGTTTGACAGAGAGTAATCTTAATCCGACTGTCTCGAGGATCGAACAGAGCATCGATAGAGGAGTGCTAGAGTTATTCCTGAAATCTCTATAATTCTTTTCCATCCAAATAGAATAAATTGTGCTAGCAAATAGGAGCTTGATGACGTAGCTTGAGGAATTTTTGAGGAACCATAGTGATAAACTGTCTATCTTATAAGAGCATTCCAATTTGAAGAGACATGCAAACCACAGTAGGCAAAAACAGACGTATAGAGCTGAGAGGAGAAAGGGCAATGAAACATAATACGAGTGATGGATTCGGATGAAGATTTACGTAAAAAAAAAAAAAAAAAAAAAAAGACCAGAACGAATGAAAGTGAAGGAAAGATAGCGAGGGGAAATCAAGAATAGAGAGTTTGTTTCTAAGGGCCATCCAAAGCACAAAATTGTACTAAGTTACTCTCAGAGACAACGGGATTAAAGGATAATAGAAATAAAGTATGCACTAGATCAGGAGCAAAATATGTTGGTACAGGCATCTTTGATGGGAGAATGGGAAGTGGAGCTTCAAAATTAAGCACATGAATTGCCTGTTTTATTGAAGGCCTTAAATTGTCATTAGGATGAGCACGCCAAAGCCCAACAATCATCAAGTATTTCATCTCTTGCTCATCAAAATCTGCACATAATTTGGGGTCTATTGCTTCAAGAAGCTTTCCTGTTCCATAGAGGTTCCAAACCCACTCCACTAATCTTGCTCGAGTTTCTTGTGCTTTAAGATCAATGGGTTTTCTTCCACATGCTATTTCCAATGTAATGATGCCAAAGCTCCTTACTCGATTTGTCCAAAGTGACACATTCAGGAGCCATGTAGCCCATTGTTCCTACCAAAAGTGTTGTTTGCGATCCTTTTTCATGGTCAACAAACCTAGCTAACCCAAAATCCCCAACTTTGGCATTGAATTTTGAATCCAACATAATGTTGCTTGATTTAATATCCCAATGTAGCACGCATTGTTCCCACTCTTCGTGAAGATAGAGCAAAGCAGAAGCCAAGCCATGGACAATTTTGTACCTCATCGCCCATGTCAATAAGCTTTTTCCTTTGAAAAGATGGGAATCTAATCTCCCATTTGACAAGAACTCATAGACGAGTAGCAGCTCATTTTTTTCATGGCACCACCAATGAGCTGCTAAAATTGAATATTTAATTTTAATTGGAGACTTGCAATTTATTATTATTATTATTATTTGTTACATATTATATATATGTTTTTGTTGCATACGAAGAAAAGGGAAATAGGTGCCGAAAATTTGGAAGAAGGAAAGAAAAGAATTGTGGTTTTTGCGGGTCCCACCTAATTGATATTTAAGGAGATTGGATTTGGTTTTTACGTTCATATTATATATATATATATACACACGTATTGTATGTCATCTGATGGAGTAAGTAACCAAAATGGGTTTCTGATTTGGCTTGTTGCTTTTGTATTTATATATTATACATATAGTATACATAGCATCAGATTGTGATAGGAATGATGAGATAAGAAGGAAGTGGAAAGGATGGTGCCAGCCGAAATGATGAGAGAGAAAGATGTTGATTTGGTTTTGTACCTTGGCATATATATATATAATGTATATGATGGAAGAAGGAAAAGGAGCAAGTCGGGTAAAAGAAATGAGAAAAGGAATATTGAAATGGTGATATGGTGCAGGTCCAACTTGGACTTTTTGGCACAAAACCTTTTTGCTTTTGAAATTGTTCACGTGGGTTTGGAGTGAGATTTTGTATGTAATGATGTGAAAGATGAAGATAAGAGAAAGGAAAGAAAGAGATGGTGGCGGGACCCAGTGTATTTTGTGGTTCAAATGTGATGATATTTTCTGATGGAAGGGGTATGGTGAGTAGTTATGGGTGTCAGTGGAAAAGTCTTTAAATGCTGAATGTGTGTGTTTTGAGTTTGTGTGAGCAAACAGAGGAGAGAAATTAGAGAACAGGGAGAGTTTGAGGACAAAGAGAGACGAGAGTTGCATAGGAGGAGCCAAGAGTCTGTAGAGGAGGCCGAGATTTGATGATCGAAATTCTTTTTCAGGGTAGGGGTCTCTAATTGATGGTCTTCTTGTACTTTTGTGAATCTATTTCTTATAAATTGTTTAATTGCATGCTTAATTGGTAAAAGTTTCTGAAAATTGTTTAAATGCCATATATGAAATTATGACAAGGTGTTAATTGATTATATTGTATTTAATCATGCTTATGTGAAATAAATTTGTGAATTGTATATTTAAATTGCTAGTAAAATGTGGAATGAGAATATGAGTTGTGTATTTTTAGTAATTTATTAATTTATTTATAAAAGTATGTAGAAACTTTATGATTGAATTGATGAAATGAAGCTTGAAGCTTGAAGCATTCATGCATCCATTGGGAAAAAAATAAGGAAAAAAATGTTTTAAAATAAATGAATTTGTTCTCGGGAAAAAAGTATATTTTTCAAAGGAGTTTACGAAAACCGGATGCCTAGGAGGCGCCTAGCGGTCCATGTTGTTAGTGTAGTCTAAAAAGGAGTATAGTTGAGCTAACTAGGCCGGATGCGACGCCTTGGAGGTGCCTTGTAGTCATGGATAGTTAGTCAACCTTCCATTCGTGACGCCTTGGAGGTGTCTTGGATCGGATTACACTAACGGTTTGGAAGTTGAAACGGAAATGTTTCGAAAAATGGGGAGTGACATTTGCATAATATTGCACATTATGACATTGTGGTAAACTTGTGATTGGTTGATATTTGCTACATACTTGTTGTTGTGGCTGAGAATGTGTGTTTTCCTATGGCATGATCCTGTTCACTTTTTATCTATTCATTGTATGGATTCACGGGGTCATAAGAAGTGTGTCTTAGACACCTCCTACTAAGCTTATGCTCACTCCATTATTTTAACATTTTTCAGGATACGGGAAGAAAATGACGGACGACGTTCCTCCACAGGTCTTGATGGATTAGTAGATTGTTTTGACATACTTTGTAGTTACGATTTTATTTAATTATTATTATTTTTATTTATTTATTTATTTTAAAACCCTAGAATGACACGTATAATATGTATTGACATAGGAAAGGACGGCAGTGTTCTTAGTTGACCTTGGATTCGGGTAAGGACCTGGTTAGCAATTCGGACCTACGAGTTCGGGTAGTTACAAATTTGGTGTCAGAGCTTCAGGTTCGAAAACCTAAGGACGACTGGTAGTGGCTTGCCTAAAGGGGTAGAAGGTTGACCTGCGTTGATTATGTGGTTGTGTTTTTGTAGTTACCATTTTATGAAGCATGCTTACCTGCTACTTGTTTATATGTTTACAGTTTTAGAGGCCTGCTTATTTACTAAGTGCTTACGTGTTTAAATGCTGAAATTTATGTTACATGGTCATGCATGTGAAGTAGTTATATGATCCAACTATGAAAATGAAATGTGAAAGTATTTGAAAGCATGTTATACGTGATAAGATGACAAGCTGTGAGCACGGGTTGTGCAAGTGTGTATTATACGGAATGATGATGAGGATGAATGGCATATTTACTTTTACATAATAATTTAATGAATTCATTGTTTAAACTGATGTGATAGGACACGGTCGTGTTAAGGTTTATGTTCTTGTCAATATGTATATATCTATATACTTATGTACGTATATACGGTCGAGCATGGGATAGTTGCTAGTACGGTAGAGTACTTTTCATAGTATAATTGGTCGTGTAAGTTTTGACTTGAGTAGGAGAGGAGCTTAGTTGCTCCAGGGTTGTCGGGTACTGGTTCTTATCAAACGACAGGTGTTGACTTCTATCTCGTGGATTGAGCTATTTGGTGTGTAGTCATTTTAATTTTCTTGTTGCATTTTGTGCGGTGCTTAGAGCACGACTTTAGAACGGGTTTATATTTCATGGCATAGTGTTTTTGTTGTGTATGAGTTTCATGCATCGGTGGATGGGTTTTTGAGATTGTGGAGGTTAGGTGTGCGAGTGAGGGTCTTGAAAAAAAAAAAAAAAAAAAAAAAGTATGACCTTAGAAGGTTAGTGTTTGTGACTTGGGTCATGGTTTGGTGCGGAGGTTCTTTTCGAACTGGTCGTGGTAGGTGTGACAGAGGTTGTTTGAGTCACGAATGTAGTCTTTGAAATGTAAATGTGTATCACAAGTGTTCTGGTATGGTCAAAAAAAGGTGTGTTGGTTATAGTTGGTTGAGAGGTGATTCCCATTCCGGGAAACTACAGGAGTGTGCTACGAGTAATCGACTCCCGGAGAATTGATTGCGTGGCTCAGGTGATGAGCAGGGTCGTGAGTTGGCACGGTTATTGAGAGTCTTGAGGTGGTGTATAGTGGTTAGTTTTAGTCGTATAGAGCAGGATTGCACTATAAAACAGGTTGAATAAGCTCATTGAAGTGCTTAGTCATTTGTGGATGAAGTGATTGATGGTAGGTATTATGTTACCAAATAGACTATGTTTTGGAAGTTGAAAGTTATGGGCTGAAGTTGTAATTCAAGTTGTGTTTGAGGTATCAGGAGATAGTGCTTGGTGTTTAAGGATCAGAAAAGGTAGACTGACGATTGGAATGATTGGGACGAGGGTGATTCCATAGGATTAGTTAGTAGCCCCATTTGACTTTTGTTGGGGCCAAGGGTGTTATGAGGAACAATGCAGAGTAGATATAATAATGTTGAGCCTAGGGCGTGAAGTTTTATTGTTTAGGCATGTAGATTACCTTTGAAAGAGTGGTTTGAGTAGCCGGTTAAGCGTTAGTGATTGATTGCATCATTGATGGTTTTAAGGAGACAGTTGAATGTTGATCATTCTGGATTTTTGTGCTCATTTTTGTTTTGAGGATTTATCGGCATGGAGTTGTCGTAGGGATGTTCTTTTCTAGTGGTAAATAGTGGTCGTTATGGGGAGTATCGAGAGTAATGCTTATTTTATGATGGTGTTGTCTTAAGGATATTGGAAGAAAAATTGCTTGGTAGTGGTTTGATGGTCAGGTGGGGTAATAAGTTTGAACTATTGTTTCAAATGAGTGGCAGTAGAGGCATTATGGCGTGATGTTTAGCATTGATGAGCATAATGGTTTCAGGTATGACCTGATGATGGATTAGAGATTATGAGTGTTGTTATATGTTGTCAGGTAGGTGATGGGATTATGCGCCAGTTGAGGCGATTGTGGACGGCTTAGTCTTTAGAGCCAGCGAGAGCAATGTTGCTATACAGGCATCCTTTTCTTTTGATGAGTCGGTGAGTTATTGTGATTGAGGTCGCGGGTTTTGTGTGTACGGTGATCGAGGTAGTGTCGCCAGGAAGGTAAAGGTAGAATAGGTGACCTAATGTCCTTATATGGCATAGAGGTTGTCGTTTGGGAGTGACTGGTTCTAGATAGAACGGGACATGGTGTCTAAAGGCAGTAATTGTTTATAATGTTAGTGTGTCGTGAGTGTGGGTGCTCTTATCTGATTGGTTTTGGTTAGCATGGGTGTTGCAGAGTAGCGTGTGCGAGGTTTCAGTGTTGATAGTGTCTGATGGTCCGTTAGTGGCGAGGTCGCCTAGAATTGTGCTCATAGTTTCATACGGGCATAGTTATTAAAAGCCCAAGGCGCTAAAGGTCCCTTGGAGCCTACGCACGAGGCGCACAGCGAGGCGCGAGCCTGAATGATGTGAGGCGCACAGGTAAAATTTTAAAACAATAATTCTTAGTAAAAATAACACAATTGAATAATGAACATCTAATAATAAAAACACTAAATTAGTCTAAATATATCACAATTAAACCAATAAAGTAACAAGAAAAATATAACAATTAAACTAATAAAGCTATTTATTCATAAGAAAGATTCAAAAGAAGCAAAACATAAACCAATTAACCATATATTATAAAATTATACATGATGTCTTAAGCAAAAGCTATCATTTGACTCCAAAACAGATCCATCAAAAGATACTTAGTAGCCTACCAAATCTATAAAGTATCATAGTTAATACTTAGTAGCCTACCAAATCTATAAACCAAACAACAAAATTTTAGTTTCAGTTTTGAGTTTTGACAAGGACTCCTAAAACCAAAGTTACCAAACAATCTTAAGGGACCTAAATATCATCCTCTTTACCAAACAACATAGTCTCATCATCGTCCCCATCAAAAGATTTGTAACCCTCAGCATTTTTTTCCTCTTTTGTCTCCTCAGAGTTTGCCTCGTCATCATCTATGATTCGTAGTGAAGACAAGCATGAAGGTGTTGTCCTCTTTGTTGCCCTTGGAGCTGAACTTGATCTTAAATTATGGCTGGACTCTCCAACCCCGGTAACTCTAGCAACTGCACCCCATGTCAAAGAGTCATCTTCAAACACCAACTCATTTTCAGCATCTACATTTTCATCCGTTACTCCAACCAACCACTCATTGCTATCATCTATATTATTTAAAAGGATTGGATCAATCCTATCACGCATGTCATATCGTCGTTTTAGTGCTCTATAATACTTCATGAAAACCAAATCATTCAATCGACATTGAGTTAGCCAGTTCCTCTTCTTGCTATGAAGCTGCATTAATTCAAATAATTAATAAGTATAAGTGTATAACTGTTTATAATCTAATTTTTTATCGTTGAATTACTAATATTACAAACTTACATGTTCAAATACACTTCAATTTCGTTCACACCCAGATGCGCTACATGTGAGGCTAAGCACTTTAATAGAAAAATTTTGCAAATTAGGAGTTGTAGAACCATATGCGGACCACCAATTGGCTGTTATTTACATATTATTAGTAAAAAATTAACAAAATTAAAATTCAAATATACTAAAAAATGATTAATTGACTTGTTTACCTGGTGCCCTTGACTTTCTTTGTCTAACAGCAATTGATGAGCCAGATAGACCATCAGCTTTCATATATCTACTCAACTCCAAAGAAATTTTATCTTGCACTTTAGTGGTTGGAACCAATCTTTCTATGCATTGATATAAACCACCCATCACCTCTTCATCTTGCTCAATATTTGGATTGCTATAAAAATATTTTGGGTTTAAGAAATGCCCAGCTGCATGCAAAGGGCGATGGAGTTGGATATTCCACCTAGTATCAATGTTCTTAAAGATGTCTTTATATTTTTCCTCATTCTCACTAAAAGCATTAGCTATCGCTTCTTTAGCCCTTTCCATAGCCTCATAAATATATCCCATTGGAGGCCTTCTCTCACCATCAACCAACTTAAGTACACAAACAAGAGGGCTTGCTACTTTGAGAGAGTACATAATGCTTGTCCAAAATGTAGGCATCAACACGATCTATGCTACATTTTTCCCTTCTATCTCTTTCACCCATTTACTGGAGATCCATTCTTGTGAAGTGAACATCCTCCTCAAGCAATCCTTTTGATGATGGATGCTTGATAACGTGATAAATGAAGTGGCAAATCGAGTCGTTGCAGGTCTAAACAACTCTTTATGTCCACTATAATGCCTCATCATGTTCAACAAACCCGAACGGTTATAAATATAACCATTTAACATTATAGCTCTCTTTATGGTCCTCATTATATTTGGGATCTTAACAATGTCCTCCAACATCAAGTCCACATAATGTGCAGCACAAGGTGACCAATACAAATGTCGGTGCCTTCCCTCCAACATTCTCCCTATTATAAAGAAAGAAAATATAGATTAATAGAAGGCTAGAAGCAATGAACCTAAAATTTCCACATCAAGTACATATTGAAATTTATACCTGCCATAACATTAGAAGGGGCACTATCAATGACTACTTGAATCATATTTGATGCTCCAATTTGCTGCACGAACTTGTTAAGCAAGTCAAACATTTTTTCACCGGTCTTTGAATAAGAGGAAGCATCAACAGATTGAATGAACATTGTCCCTTTAGGACAATTCAACAAAAAATTAATCAAACACCTGTGTCTTTTATCCTCCCATCCATCTACCATAATTGTGCATCAGCATTTTGCCCATTCCTCTCTATGATCCCGCATTAAATTGTCTGTATGCTCCAGTTCTTTCTTAAGGAGGGGAACTCTTACCTCATGATAAGAAGGAGGTTTCATTCTTGGACCATGTTGGCCAATAGCTTCAACAACTGGTGCAAAACTATCATAATTAAAGGCATTGAATGATATCCCAGCATCATACATCCATCTTGCAAACCGTTGACATGCTCGGTTTCTAAGTTCTTTCTTGCAAGCATAATCAATTGTTGTTTGCTTACCCTTGTTATTTTTTCTATTTTGCACAACTACTTTCGGAGAAGGGTGAAGTACAAATCAATAGAACATTTCTGCTTTTGCTTTTTTGATTGAATATTATTGCTTCCAGTTCCACTTGCCACTCTTTTACCCTTAACATCAATAATTGTTACATCATCCTCATCTTGATCATCCATGTCATCAAAATTCAGGCAACAAATTTGTGTATTCCTTTTCTTCTTTCTTCTTGCTCATGTATTCTCTAATCTCTTCTTTCACATGTTCAGGACACTTTTTACATGCTTGTACGTTTCTATATCCCCCTACAATGTGTTGCTTAGCCCTATAAATACCTCCTTTCATAACTTTTTCACAAAAATTACACGTTGTTGCATTCCTATCTTGTGGGTTTTGCAGGTGACAATAATTCCAACTTGGATCCTTTGACATTTTTTTCTATCTATTTATAATGAGAAATAGAATGGAGTCAATGGACCAAGTTAAATTCAGCAAATAAGCATTCAACAAATAAGCATTCAGGCAATTCAGCTAATAGTATTCAGGCACAAACATTCAAAATTTAAATAATCTAGCAAATTCCAGCAAACAAAGCCCATAAAGAAGAAAAAATTTAGCACATATTTAGTCCATCATAGCACAACAACATTTTTTTATAAAATAAAATTGGCATGATCAACGGCTAGATGAAAGGCATATATTTAGTCCATCAGAGCACAGCGGCATTTTAGGCCAAAGAGAAGACTCAGAAAGGAGGAAAAAAAAAATACAGAGGCCCTACATGAAGAAAAACAAAGACCCAGAAAAAAATTAAAAAAATAAAATAAACCAAATGAGAGAGAGAAGAGGAGAGGAGAAAAGAAGAGGAGAGGAGGAAAAAGAAAAAACCCGAGCCCATAAAGAAGAAAAAAAAATAGTCTGAGACCCTAAACAGAGCCCGAAGAAAAAGAAAGAAAAACAGAGTCCTATAAAGAAGAAAGAAAAAAAAAATCGAGAGCCAGGGAAAAAATAAATAAATAAATAAAAAATAAAACAAACAAACAAACAGATGAGGAGAGAGAATAAGAGAGGAGGGGGAAAAAAAACTTAAATGAAATTACTGACTTGGGTAGTGGCTTGGTCAGAAGGAAGGAGGCAACAGATAAATTCCAGGTTCTTTTTTTTTTCTTCTCTTCTCTTCCCTTTTCTTCTTCTTTTTTTTTTTTTTTTCTTTCTTTCTCTCTCTTCTCTTTCCCACTTTTGACTGGGGAGTGGCATTCCACGTTTCTTCTACAGCTTAATTTTTATTGATTTGATATGTTGCCTCACAAGATGACAAAATTCCAATTTTTTGCTTTTAAGTTTCCAAAGCTGTATATATATACTAAATATAATAATATAAATACAAGCAGTTAAACAAATAAAATATATGCCGCATACTACATGAGGCGCGCTTAGGCATACCTCATACAAGCTTCAAGGCGCAGCCCAGGCGTGCGCCTAGTGGAGGTCGCTGTGCCTGGGCTATTATGAGGCGTAACTGTTGCGCCTGTAAGCGCCTTGCGCCTAAGCGCACCCCCAAGTGCGCGCCCAGGCGTGCTTTTGACAACCATGCGTACAAGTGTCCAGTTAATTCACCTCCTTATGCATAAGGAGTTCATTTCATCTCAGGTGAGACAAGGGTGTCCATGGTTGAGTAGAGTGTGACAAGGTATCGGGTGCATTTAGGTGTGAATCATCAATCTCTTATGAGAGCTGGGTTCGTACCCTTTTCGTTTGTTCTAGTCCTAGCAAGGACGTCGTTCGTCGTGAGTCTTGTTCTCCATTTAGGAGTTGTGCTCGTTCGTAGGTGGATGGACCTGTGTATGTGGTTTATTGTGTTGTTAGAGATCATTGGTAAAGGTTTGGTTGATTTGGTCAACTCATTTCCATGGAGGGAGATAAAGTCATTAGTTCTTAGTGGTGTTTGTTTTGAGAGTGGTTTTAACGGCACGAGTTGTCAAATAGGGATTGTGTTTCCAGTATTTGGTGCTATCGGTGATGGTTAGGGGATGTATCGTGAACAGTAGTTTGAAAATGATTAGGTGATGTGATGTGAGTCATATACTTGGGTTTTTTATTGATGTTTGATTTGAGCAGTGTCTTGAGGACAAGTGTTGGTATTGTGCTATGTAGCTAAAGAGTGAATGCGTTATCCCATTGAGGAATAATAGAAGTGATTGACTTTGGTTTTGAGGTTTTAGGCATGAGACGACCGTATTATGTGTTTTGAAGAAGTAAAAATGGAATCAAAAGATGTTATGGAGTCGTTTACCTGGTATGGGTGCTATGAAATCATTAGTGAGCTTTTATGTTGATCGATGATTATGAGGTTTGGTGCTATGTTATTTTTAGCTTGTTAGGGGATTGTGTGACTAAAGTATGATTGGGATTTTTAGAGTAGGTATGTAACTGTATAGTCGTTGTGGTTATGTAGAGCAATGGATTGATAGAGAGTGAATCACATGGTTGTTTTGTGAACTATGTGTGACTGTGTTTGAGGTTTAGACCTGAGGACAGGAACGATGTCTGTGTTGAGATCGGATCGAGGATGAGGATGAGGATGGCCTGGCCAACCATTTCTCTTGAATCAATCCCTCTTAAGCACGATGTCGGGTCTAAGGTCAATGATTGTTTCGTTTTGTCAAGGAAAACAAGAGCATGGTACTGTGGGTCGTGTCGGTGTGACAGTGTAGGTTCAGATGGTTTGTCTCGGGTGACGAGGTGTGTTAGGTAGGACCATGTGTCTGATAAAAGGTTTGCGGTACGATCATTGATTATTGAAATTCTGTTATGATTTTTCCTATTGGGACTTCTCGTCTCACGACCTTCCAGTTTCATGTATCGAAGATGAACATGAATTACTAGTTTTGGGCTTAGGTGGAAGAGTTGGCGTTGCGAGATTTAATTTATTTATTTGGAGAATTTTATATATATTTGAGGAAATTGATTTTGTATAATAGAGGACATTTTTCTTATGATAATAAGATTATAGTGATGTATTTGTGTTTGAATGAATTGAGGATTTTATTAGCCTGTACCCGAAAGTGTGAGTGTAGTGATGATGTAGACGGGTGTGAGTGGGCGAGTGTGTAATACTGGTTAGCTATCACTTGTAGCCGGGTATGTGTGGGCGGATAACGTTCACTAGTAGCTACTGGGATGGTTGGTTAGTGTGGTTGGGCAGGTAGGCCAGATTTGTTATTGTTTGTTTTTTTTTTAGTAGGCGGGTGACGCATCGACTAGCTACCATAACGGCTACGAAGTGTGTGGGCAGGTGACTAATACTGACAGTTACCACAACGTCCTACATATCATGGTATCTTACATCGCCTAGGGTAGGGATTTATTGATTTGGTTTCGTGGTTATTAATGTTTTCGGGTATACGAAGACTGTTGGAGCTGAATTTCGGGAACGAAATTCTTTTTAAATGGTGGAGATTGTGATAATCCGGATTTTTAAGATTTTAATTTAATTTATTTCATGATTTTAGCTGTTAAAATTGAATATTTAATTTTAATTGGAGACTTGCAATTTATTATTATTATTATTATTATTTGTTACATATTATATATATGTTTTTGTTGCATATGAAGAAAAGGGAAACAGGTGCTGAAAATTTAGAAGAAGGAAAGAAAAAAATTGTGGTTTTTGCGGGTCCCACCTAATTGATATTTAAGGAGATTGGATTTGGTTTTTATGTTCATATTATATATATATCTGATGGAGTAAGTAACCAAATGGGTTTTTGATTTGGTTTGTTGCTTTTGTATTTATATATTATATATATAGTATACATAGCATCAGATTGTGATAGGAATGATGAGATAAGAAGGAAGTGGAAAGGATGGTGCCAGCCGAAATGATGAGAGAGAAAGATGTTATATATATATATACATAATGTATCTGATGGAAGAAGGAAAAGGAGCAAGTTGGCTAAGAGAAATGAGAAAAGGAATATTGAAATGGTGATATGGTGCGGGTCCCACTTGGACTTTTTGGCACAACACCTTTTTGCTTTTGAAATTGTTCACGTGGGTTTGGAGTGAGATTTTGTATGTAATGATGTGAAAAGATGAAGATAAGATAAAGGAAAGAAAGAGATAGTGGCGGGACCCAGTGTACTTTGTGGTTCAAATGTGATGATATTTTCTGATGGAAGGGGTATGGTAAGCAGTTGTAGGTGTCGGTGGAAAAGTCTTTAAATGCTGAGTGTGTGTGTTTTGAGTTTGTGTGAGCAAACAGAGGAGAGAAATTAGAGAACATGGAGAGTTTGAGGACAGAAATAGACGAGAGTTGCATAGGAGGAGCCGAGAGTCTGCAGAGGAGGCCGAGATTTGATGATCCAGTAAGGGAAATTCTTTTTCAGGGTAGGGGTCTCTAATTCATAGTCTTCTTGTACTTTTGTGAATCTATTTCTTATAAATTGTTTAATTGCATGCTTAATTGGTAAAAGTTCCTGAAAATTGTTTAAATGCCATATATGAAATTATGACAAGGTGTTAATTGATTATATTGTGTTTAAGCATGTTTGTGTGAAATAAATTTGTGAATTGTATATTTAAATTGCTAGCAAAATGTGGAATGAGAATATGAGTTGTGTATTTTTAGTAATTTATTAATTTATTTGAAAAAGTATGTGGGAACTTTATGGTTGAATTGATGAAATGAAGCTTGAAGCATTCATGCATCCATTGGGAAAGAAATAGGGAAAAAAATGTTTTAAAATAAATGAATTTATTCTTGGGAAAAAAATATTTTTTAAAGGAGTTTGCAAAAACCGGACGCCTAGGAGTCACCTAGCGGTCCGTGTTGTTAGTGTAGTCTAGAAGGGAGTATGGTTGAACTAACTAGGCTGGATGCGACGCTTTGGAGGTGCTTTGTGGTCGTGGATAGTTAGTCAACCCTTCATTCGTGATGCCTTGGAGGTGCCTTGGGTCGGATTACACTAATAGTTTGGAAGTTGAAACGAAAATGTTTCGGAAAATGGGGAGTGACATTTGCATAATATTGCACATTATGACATTATGGTAAACTTGTGATTGATTGATATTTGCTGCATACTTGTTGTTGTGGTTAAGAATGTGTGTTTCCCTATGGCATGATCCCATTCACTTTTTATCTATTCATTGTATGGATTCACGAGGTCATAAGAAGTGTGTCTTAGACACCTCCTACTGAGCTGATGCTCACTCCATTATTTTAACATTTTTCAGGATACAGGAAGAAAGTGGCGGACGACGCTCCTCCACAGGTCTTGATGGGTTAGTGGATTGTTTTGACATACTTTGTAGTTATGATCTCATTTAATTATTATTTATTTATTTATTTTAAAACCCTGGAATGACACGTATAATATGTATTGACATAGGAAAGGACGGTAGTGTCCTTAGTTGACCTCGGTTTCAGGTAAGAACCCGGTTAGCAATTCGGACCCACGGGTTTGGGTAGTTACATAAGCTACACCAGATTCTTATGCCTTAATCTGCTAATGATCTTAACTTCTGATGCATACTCTGTAAGCCTTTGCTCAGAACCTCTGTAAACCCCACCAAATCCTCCCTCTCTAAGTTTTTCTTCATTTGCAAAGTTATTTGTCGAATGAGCCAACTCAACGTAGGAAAACTTCTTTGGTCGGATACCCTTCTCAAATTCATCATCCATGGATAGATCAAAGACAAATGCCGCATCCCCTTCTTTTCCTCTACTTTTCTTCCACAAGCAAATGGCAATCAAACCCAATCCACCAACCAAAACACATAAGCCAACACTTAATCCCACCATTAGTGCTATCTTATTTTTCGTCATTTCTTTAGGCTTGGGGCCTGGACTTGGGCTCGGTGTCACTTGTGGCTCTATTAAGTTTGGACTGGGGCTCAGTGTCACCGGTGCTGGTTCTCTATAATTGAAATTCTATGATTTAACAGTATTCATCTCAGTAGAGACCCCCGTTGAAGCTGAAAAGCCAAAAGCAACTCATTCAGTTAAGTAGTTGCGCAGATCAACTTTGTGACTAAGGCTGCCTTGTTGAACAATGGTATTATTAAAATAACTAGCGAATTTAACATTAAGGGTTTTTGTGCTAGAATTATAACTAATCCAAGCTTTATTTTCATCCCCTCGAGTGATATTACCATTCCATATTGAAGTTCTAACAGATTTCATAGAGTTAACATTGATACCTACATGAGTATCCGACTCGGTGTATGGGTCAAATTCATTCCTGTAAGTGTCGAACTCCACAGCAACAAATGGAGTAGTGGTGGAGTTCATTGTTACATTTTCCACTGGAAGACCAAGACCACCGCCTCTCGTGACAAGGATGTCATCAAAATTGGAAACATTGGCAACAAGGAAGAAGGCAAGCCCATCGCCACGGCGAAATCGGTTTGTATTTCCTTCTAAACTAATGACAAAGGAGAAATGGGTGGTGAAGTCTGCCAGGTTCTGAGAAGCCTTATCCCAAAGGTGGAGAGGTTCAATAAATGTGGCTCGACCAACTTTATTCTCTCTCGCTATGCCTCGCTCATCTGGGGTGACTTGGAGGCCTTGTGCTGAGACATAAGCATCTTTGTAAACTCTTATTTTGATATTTAGATGATTGCTTCTGATTTCAGGGATGTTGAAGCCTAGTGGAGTTGCATGAGGGATGATCATGAAAAAAAAGGAAAAGCTGACCACGAAGAAACTATAAAGAAGCTTATTTGGTAATTGTACAAGGGTAGTACTGTCATTGCAAGAGTAGCAGTACTTGCAGAGTATGACCATGGTTGATAGCTAGGAACAGTTCTAAAGATGGGAGCTAGTTTGGAATTATTAGATTATGCTTCCAGATTGATAGGCTTAGTATATCGGACTTGGATCGCTGAAAAAGGTCCTGTATCCCAAATGTGGAGATGGCATCCAATTCCAATTTCAGCATTTGTGGACGTCTCATATGGGATTGGAACTCCGTGCCGTCCGGCTAGGATCATAATGACAGCGATGCCATAGGACATTTTTACATTTTCTGAAAAGGATTGATAAAGACCACCCACCTAACAAAAATGTTATATATATATATTAAATATATATATCTGTGTGTATGTGTTTGTGTAGTTATACATGGAACCATGGAGGAAAGTGGAGCATTGACTAGATAGTAGAAAAGGTTAAGGGAAGTTGAATGGTAAACTTGAATATATATAGTTCTTTTTTCTTGGTCAAATTTAAAAATGTATAAAAGAGCAAAGATATGCACAGAGAGGAGCCACAAGAGCAACAAAAGCCAAATACAAAAGCCAAACCAGTAAGCATAGCTCACAAAAACAAAATCTCAATGGAGCTGAGTGGAATAGTTGCAAAATACCCTACACCCTCAATTGACCAACTATGGCAAATTACCCCTTTTGGAGAGAGATGGAAAATTACATAAATACCCATAGTAAAAAATAGATATTTTAAAATGTACAGAGCCTAAATTCTGCTGGTATATTATTGTGTGCTATACAGGATTTTGAGGGTCTAGTATTGAAGACCCAATTGGGCGAGGACAAAAAAGAAGCAGCCTACTACTCCAAGCTGGTGAGGCAGAAAACTGTTTTCTCAGGGCCGGGAAACCACCAACAGATAGTTGAAATGGACAATAATCGACGATAATAGCAATGGATGGGTGGTGGTGGAAATGGGTCTGACCCATTTGTTTAATCAGCTTCGCCCCAAATTGCAATTGCCTTGGAACTCTCATGAATAGGATGATTAAGAGATGCGCTGGGAAGGGATAGCACAAAGACTGTTTTCAGCTGCTATTAGCTTTCTGGGATCATTGCTTCAATAGTGAGTTTTTTTTAGAAAGTTAAGCAAACACATGCCTCCAGGGAGTCTCGAATACCCGACCTCCCATTTAGGAAAGAGGACTTGTTGTTGGGTTTTAATTAAATTAATCTATGTAGAAATCAAGAATACTTAATTAAAGACTAATTTAGATATATTGATGACTAAATCGCACATATACCTTTAGAATATCCATGTAATCCTCTCTGAATTCCTTCAAAACATTAGAACGCTTTACCTCCTTCTGAGAGTTGTCGATATAATAGGTCTGAATAAGGGTTTTAAAACCCTTATATATATAATAACAATAGGGGGGACGACTTCTCTACAAACAAGTTTATCTAAGTCTCCCTTCCTATCATAGAAACTTAGATATCAATGGTTAGAAATAAATCACACCAAATAAGTTGGAAAACCATAATCTAACGGTATAAAACCATACTCCCAATTAGACCACCAAATTGAAAAGTACAAACCCAATTCATCAAGTATCAATAATCACATTGCAATCCTAATTTAGAAAACGTAATGCATAGGACCATAAAATAATTTTTATTATTTATATATATAAATTCCAACAATCTCCCACTTGGTCTATGCACTCTAAGTTTTATAAAATGACACTATGGATTGCAACACACTTTATAAAAGTCGAGTGGCCACTCATTTTTATTTAGAAAACACAATTATTGAAATTAATGGATTGAAACTTTAGAACACTCCTCCATAAATTTCCTCAATAGTGGATCATGAATGCGTAAACAAGTAATATATTAGTCTAAACAGTTCCATGGTCTCAAAACCGATTCCATCTAGGATTCAAGCAAATATAGTGGTTTTACTGTATTTCATGAGATATGCAAACTGCATGTGGTCTAAACGCACACCTCACTATCCGTCCTGCTTCATACCATCGCGGTATATCACCTGAATATATTATAGCAAACCGCCAACCTTCTGTTCACTATGAGGGTTTATCGATATGGAGCCAATCTCATATCTAGCCCAAGCTATCCTCATAGAGCGTTAACACTCCCACAGGCAAACTTTAATATTTATGTTTGAATTTACCAATGTGGTGTCAATCTCACATCTAGTCCAAACAACCTCATGAGTGAAATACCACTCCCAGAAAAATCTTATATTTGGATTTACCGATATGGCGTCAATCTCATATCTAGCCCAAACAACCGTATGAGTGAAATATCACTTTCAGACAACCTTTAATAATTATTTTTGGATTTACCGATATGGCGTTAATCTCATATCTAGCCCAAATAACCGTATAAGTAAAATATCACATGAATGTCATTGCTACCTTGCAAAAATCATCAACATATAGGACAAGGAAAACAAAAACAAAAATAACTCCCACTGAACTTGAGGTATATGCATTTGTCCATAACATTCTCTTTGAACCTACAATTAGTAACCACTGTATCAAAATTTTGATACCACTGCTGTAAAACTTCCTTAAGCCATAAATGAGTGATAATAAAATAATGACTTTTAAAGAGTCCTTTAATGAAATTGAAAAAAAAAAAAAAAAAAAAAAAACAACACTTAACTTTTGCTTAAGCATTTGGCCATCAATTTTTGTCTTATATCCACTAAACACCTCAAAATCACCAACTATAGCATACTACCAAGCTCTAGAAGATCTCCTAAGCTAAACTGGCTTAGGAACTTGATTGAAAACTGAAAGAAAAGACTGCAAATGAGAAAATAACTAATTAAGTTGGAAAACTGAAGAGTAGGAATATGAGCTTTAATTGAAACCACTAAAGAAAGTGGAATGAAGCCTGAAAATGTTTTCTGTAAAAAAAACTACAATATCTTAAACTCCCACTGCATTCACCACTTTCATTAAATATGCATGACATATTCCAATAATCTCCATAGGTCTACAAGACAGTAAAATCTCGAATCCTTTAATCTTTCAAGATACCCAATAAAATAATCATTGATAATATGAGTATCAAGCTCCTTCTATTTTATAACTCTGTCTCTATAAGACATCCCCACACTTTCTCTTTTCTGTAACTTTATTTTGTGCAGGAGAACTAGGAATGGTGTATTGTGGCACAATGCCCTACTTTTAAGTATGTACTGAAAGTACTTCAATTTACACCCTCCTTACCATTCTCCCATTAAAACTCACCACCTTAATCCGATCTTAAAACCATAATCTTTATACCAACTACTTTCAACTTTAATCTAGTAGATTTTACACATATCAAGTGCTTCGGACTTCTGGTGGATTAAGTGCACGATCATACTTTGATAACCCATCAATGAAGACAATGAAATACCTTTACCGCAAACGAGCTACAATAAGAAATGGATCACAAAATTCGGTATAAAATATAGTTTAACCAAATGATTGACTAGCCTCAAAATTTGCGTTTTTCTGCGTTTGTCCTTTAATACAACCAACGCATAAAATTTGTGACTCAATTAATCTCATCCTTGACCAAGCGTTCAAGTCTCTTTTAAGAGACATTCCCCAATATACTATGCATAGCATGGATAAATCCTCTCTAACTAAAGCACGATTTTATTCGGAAGTATCGAGTCTATAGAAAAACAAGAAACAAGTAGGATCACACCCGAATTCATCTACCATTTCTATACCTATACTTTTACCAAGTTTGGCTCAAATATTAATATGGCAATTTTCTTTCATGCTTTATTTTTCTTTTCACCACAATAACCTTTTCTTTTGATGTCCTTTTATTTCTACAGAACCAACATTTATCATTCCATGATCAATGCCTTTTCATGTATTGTTCTGTCTTTCTTTATTCTGTTTAGCCTTATACACTTTCTTGTTGCCTAGTTTATTTTTGAAATGATTCTCGTTGTCACGGCAAGATGAGCTGACTCAGTTTTAACACCCTTAAGTCGCTCACTTTCAATCACACAAAATGCTAACAGCTGGTTAATTCCACAGTTAAAAAGCTGAAAAAACTTAAGCAGAGAATAGATCACCATGTGGACTAATAACTTATCAACAAATATGATTCTCTACTTCCTCAGATCATTAACCAGCTTGCACATCTTATAGATGCACTCCCTCACTGAACCATTGCCATCATATCTCACTAACATAATCCATGTCAGATAATAGTATTGTAGTTGCTTCTTAATACCCATTAACTCTTTATTGACCAAATCAATAAACTCCTTGGCAGTATCAAAATTAGAATACCACCATAAATAATATCACCAATAGAAGCATAAATTAACTTAATGGCATGGTAGTACCTTTAGTCCACATAAAATGCAACAATTTTCTACCTAAGAAGACTCCGCACTAGGCATATGGGTTTCTTCCTCAAAAAAACAGACTCATGATCTAAGAAACCCAATATAATATCAAAACATGTCTTCTAGGAAATATAATTTTAAGCATTCAATGGTTCAATCCCTGTGAGCTATCTTTAAATTGCGGAAGCGTCTGTAACCAGAATAAATATTATATTGAATAACACCACATAAACAACATATAAAACACTATGTCATAGTTTCAGAGATTATTACTTTAATTCGTGCTTGGAGTTTTAAGCCGAATTTCTCAGGGTGTTTTACTATGTGCAAAACTATCCACCCTGCGGGAACAGATAAAATGTCATCTAAAAATCACCTTTTGGCAGAATTTTAGATTTTACTTTACCTCCCAAACCTGCGATAAAATATCACATAGACCTATTTGATTATAATTGAATTATTGCTAAACACTTCCACTACCTTTTGGCAAGAGAGTTTTTTAGTTATAATCCAAGCACTCTCAAATGTTCTACTCACTTATCCCACACTAAGACATTGATCACCTTTTGGCAAAGCAAATGCCCTCATGTAGGTAAGTGCATTGTGAGACCTCAATAAGACCAATGTCTTAAAATTTAATAAAATAATAACCTCCATGAGCGTGTCACCTTTTGGCAGGCAGCACCTACTTTAGCTATTACCTTTGAAACGGTCACTTTACCGGTCTTCCTAAACCCCAAGGAAAACCTAAACTGAAGTTTTATTTATTTAAATTAAACAATTTCTTTATAATGCACATAAACTAAACTCAAATATTATGGAACACTTAATTTCATCGTAATATAAATAGCTTTAACATAAATAATATTAAGCCTCCTCAAACATACCAAGAAATTACAGTGAACAATATAATAACATGCACATCAATCAAGATTTAAAATCTTAATTCTTTATATACTTTAATTAAAATAAAATAAAATAACAAAACTTGATACATGTATATTATATATCTGATGAACAATTTAAAGTACTAGAATCTTTAAATCAATCAAATTAATATTGCTTGCTTATGGCGTTTAAACCCCATAGATTTTTCAAGTTAAAGCTGACTTATATATGTAATACAATCTTAAGAACATCTATACCATTTATTATTCACTATTCATGAATAAACCATTTGTTCACAATACTATCATGCAAACAATTTAATTGATGATAAAATTTCAAAGAAAATTTCTATTCAACTATTCTTTGATATCGATCAACTAATTACTGTACATATATTAGAACTTGAATTGAATATCATATTGATTAAATGTTCAATTAGTTCACCATAGATCAGCCAATCATATCACATACATTCACATACTGAATGTATACCCAAAACAATAAGAGAAATAATTTACGAATTGACATCTCAAATACCATGAAATGAATCATCATATGTGTGTGAACTAACTTTATATTTGTGAATCTACAAGTTTCACCAGTGAGTATCTCATCAAAATCAAATTCTAAATTAGTGTATAGATGCATACATATTTTCCATGACACTTAAAGTATTCACTACTTAATTGTGCACAATATAATATTATTTAAACACTCATGTTCAATAGCCTCATTGCTTACACACCACTGTATTTATTTATTTTAAAATAATTTATTTATACATATACGTATACAATCGAGTATATATATATATATATATCTATATTGTGAATACAAAATTATTTGATTGCGCAAGAAATTAGAGAATACAAAATTGATCCAAAATATATGGGCATCAGTAATCTAATCACTTGGTCTCCATATATGCTATTAAAAACAATACTTTTCAATGCATGAAATTCAAGATTTGAACAAATCATAATTTTCCACTAAACTTAATTTCAAAAGAACCATAGATGCATGTACTAGAATATATATATATTCATTCAGATTTTTGATAACCATCACACATGTACTAGAATATATATATTCATTCAGTTTTTTGATAACCATCACACACAGTGACACGCACACATACACAAAAAAACAAAACCCCTAGTTTAGTGGCGTGCACACACAACAACAAACAAAACCCCTAGTTTGGAAGCTACTTTTCACTGTTGGAACAAAGGTAAAGGCAGTGAACGCTTCTCTCCCTGCTATTTCGACTCCTTACGAGCAAGACCCACGTCCACAATTTGCGATCAAATATATATTTATATATTTATCATGCCTCTAATTTAAAACAATATATAAAATATACTCAATTCATTGATCTTGATTACTATAAGAAAATCTAAACCCTAACATTACTCTGATACGAATTGTTGGATTTTAATTAAATTAATCTATGTAGAAATCAAGAATACTTAATTAAAGACTAATTTAAATATCGTACCTGATTGATGATTAAATCACACATATACCTTTAGAATATCCATATAATCCTCTCTGAATTCCTGCAAAACATTAGAGCGCTTTATCCCTTCTGAGAGTGGTATCCCTTCTGAGAGTTGTCGATACGATAGGTCTGAATAAGGGTTTTAAAACTCTTATATATATAACAACAATAGGGGGGACGGCTCTCTACAAACAAGTATATTTAAGTCTCCCTTCCTATCATGAAAACTTAGATATCAATGATTAGAAATAAATCACACCAAATAAGTTGGAAAATCACAATCCAACGGTATAAAACCATACTCCCAATTAGACCACCAAATTAAAAAGTACAAACCCAATCCATCAAGTATCAATAATCACATTGCAATCTAATTTAGAAAACGTAGTGCATATGAGCATAAAATAATTTTTATTATTTATATATATAAATTCCAACACTTGTACCAGGTGGGCTATTTCATAAGATTTGGAGAAAATTGTGGCCCTAATACAAAGCTAACTGGCTTTGGTGGTACTGGAATTTATATAAAGTTGCCAGGCTTGACACAAACTCGGATTGTGAATTTGTCAATTCAAGAAACAGCATTACCACAAACAATCAGACCAGTTCGAACAAGAAAATCACAAAATGATTAACGAAATGGCAAGTAACAGAAATTGAAATTCAATAATTGGAAATAAATTAACTGAAGTAAAAATGATTGCAGTTTACCTGATTGTAACTAACAGTCTCAATTGAATCATCAACAAGACGATGATCCTCGGTTCTGTAGAAAAGAAAAAAAAATAAAAATAAAAATAAAAAGCCCCAAATCGACACCACTATAGCCCACCCACCTCCGGTGATCGGAGGAGAGTCTTGACGAAGGCTAAGAAGACCAGTGATGGCAATATCTGTGAATATGAAGAAGCCACATATATAGTAGAAGAATATAGAGCATTGGGAGTCTCATCCGCTCATATGGTTGAGCATTCAAAATCACCATCTTGCAGTTTGTCAAGAGTTTATAATTTACTCTTCTTCTGGTTTTTTTCTTTCTTATTTTTCCTTCTACTTAGTTCATACCATGAGTATTTATGTAATTTTACAACGGTAGTTAGTCCTCTCCAATCTCCATGGTTGTTAAATTGAGAGAATTTGTTGTCAAAAAAAAGAAAAAAAAAGTAGAGGGAGTGTTTTGCAATTTTGTGAAATTATAGGGAGTTTATAACAATTTGACCAGCAAAATAATTAAGAACAAAGAAGTTATAGAGAAGCAAGAAGCTTCAACTTATACAATCAAAATCCTCTGCACTAATCTTTTATATAAATTATGTACAAGAATATGCCTTTGTGTAATATCAGAACGTTGATTTAAAAATGGAAGCTCAAACACTACCGCTTGATATAGGGATGATTTTGTGTTTAATTTTGAGCTCATTACAAGTGTTTAGAGTCACTTTAATTGAATGGGTTGTTAGTAAAAATGTTTAATCTCTTATTTGATTTTTTTTGATACCATGAATGTGACACCTAGCATACTTTTAGATTCCTATACTCAGCTGAGACTAGCGAAGCTAGTATAATTTTATTATTATTATTATTATTATTATTATTATTGGACTGATATATATATTTTGCCAATTCCATGGACACCTTGCCTTTTAGCTGAACAAGCACCATGGAAAAGAAATTGAGAATGCCTGGCATGCATACATGTTTGAGTAGAGTCAGGGGCGGAGGCAAGAATTTGTTTCAGGGGCGCCTTATTAAAAAATGATAAATTATATTTTTTTCAAGCGAATAGTGATGCAAGATAATAAGTCAAAAAATAGAACTGTAATAATGATGGAATAATAGCATTTAATAATTTAAAAAATAATTATTTTAAAATAATAAAAACATAAAATACACCTTAAGAGTCCTGTTAGCAACAAATTTAATTACCAAACTTTGAAGAGAAAAAAAAAAAAAAAAAATAGTTTGAATAAAGGAATGCAATTTTTTTTTTTAAGAAAATATAAAGAAGTTTTTTTTTTTTTTTTTTTTTTTTTTTTTAAGAGAATATAAAGGAGGAGGAGGAGGAGAAGGAGGAGTAAGAATGAAAAGAAAGGAAAAAATGATTATTTTAGTGGGCATTTTTGTAAAATTTTACAAATTATAGGCCTATTTGCAATAAAAAATTAATTGGCCCAAGGGTAAATAATTATTTCAGTGGGGGCATTTTTCACTTTTTTTTTATAAATTATTGGCCTATGTGTAATAAAAATTAATGGCCATTTTTAGAAAAAAAAAAATTATTTTAGGGGGGTCATTTTGAAAACTTTTGTAAACTATAGGCCATTTTTGTAATTAAAACTAATGTGCCAGGGCCCCGGCGGGGCGGGGGGGACTTAAATCTGAATTTTATTTTATTTTATATATATATATTTTTTTAGTACGACACAGAGTGTTGTTATAGACTACGACTACCGGGGGGGCGTATAGTGATGTTAGCTGACTGACTTAAATCTGATTTTTTTTTTTTTTTTTTTTTTCTGTTTTTTAGTACGACACAGAGTGTTGTTATAGACTATGACTACATTTTGGTTCCATCATCCATCAGTTGTGCCATACGAGAACAAAAAGATTCATAGAATTGAAAATATATAGGATTAAACACACACACAAACACAAAGAAAAGAGTTTCAATAGATTACATCGCTAAGTTGTATATTTGTGTGCCATATTTTCCTTTTTTTGTTTCTCCTTGTCTCATTTTTCATTTTCTTGCCTGTTATTAAAAATGGTAAGTTGTCACGTTTTTTGTGATTGCTTTATCCACAATTACCTGTTCATCCATGCTCCTGCCTAGAGTGATCAATGTAATTTATCTTATTTTAGTACTTACTAGAACATGTTCATGATTTGTATAACATCTAGTATGTAATGTTAGCATTATCCAAATATAAATATGGGTTCTTGTATTTTTGTTTTTTCAACTTCTTACAACATTTGAATTTTAGTCGATATATATATTGATTAAATCTTTGGGACAATGCCATGGGAAATCTTGCAGACTTGGACACAAATTTGATGGTATAAAGTCATGCCAAACCTTTTTTTAAATGATTTATAAAGAGTTTACTTGAAAATTGAAGTAATAATTACAATTGATTAAGAAGGAATGAAAGGACAAAAGAGAAAAAACCTAATGAAGGGATTCAATACGCCTCAATTACATGAAAGTCTTGAACTTGGTATTCTTTCGATCAACTTATCGTGTATACAGAAGTAAGGATAAAGAGGAGGAAGTAGCAGAAGATGTGGTAATTTTATTTTATTTTTATTTTTTTCTGGTAAGGTAAATTTTTGTATTGAATGTATAAAATGTACAAAGCAGGCCAAGAAGCCAGAGTCAAAGACAACAGCTACAAAAGGGAGACCCCAGAACAACCAGCAAACAGACTATGTTTCATTCTACGAGATGATGGAGCTTGGAAGAATCCATAAGGCAACCACTTCTCTGGACTCCTACAACCCGTAGGCTTGGGAGAGAATAATCTTAATCTGACTGTCTCGAGGATCGAACAGAGAATGGAGGGAGGACTGGAGGATTGCTAGAGCTATTCTCGAAAGCAGCAAAATTCATATCCATCCAAATACAATAAACTGTGCTAGCAAATAGGAGCTTGATGACATAAACTTAAGAACTTTTTGAGAATCCATAGTGATAAACTGTCCAACTTATAAGAGCTCCAATCTGAAGGAGAGAGATGCAAACCACAGTGGGCAAAAACAGAAGTGCAGAGCTGAGAGGAGAAAGGGAAATGAAACAGAATATGAGAGATGGATACAGAGGAAGATTTACATAAAAAAATCAGAATGAAGGAAAGTGAAGGAAAGATAACTAGGGGGAATCAAGAGTGGAGAGTTTGTTTATGAGGGCCATCAAAAGTACAAAACTGAGCTTAGTAATGTTCCTTTTGAAAGAATCAGAATTTTAACTATAGCTGGAATAATGGATTTGGTTACTCTTAGAGACGGTGGGATCAAAGGATAATGGAAATGTAGCATTCACTGGATCAAAAGCAAAATATGTTGGTACGGGCATCTTTGATGGGAGAGTGGGAAGTTGAGCTTCAAAATTAAGCACATGAATTGCCTGTTTTATTGAAGGCCTAAGATTGTCATCAGGATGAGCACACCAAAGCCCAACAATCATCAAACATTTCAACTCTTGCTCATCAAAATCTGCACATAATTTGGGGTCTGCTGCTTCAAGAAGTTTTCCTGCTCCATAAAGGTTCCAAACCCACTCCACTAGCCTTGCTCGAGTTTCTTGTGCCTTGAGATCAATGGATTTTCTTCCGCATGCTATTTCCAGTGCAACAATTCCGAAGCTGTAGACATCTGATTCCTTACTAGATTTGCCCATAATGACACATTCAGGAGCCATGTAGCCCATTGTCCCTGCCAAAAGTGTTGTTTGCGATCCTTTTTCATGGTCAACAAGCCTAGCTAGCCCAAAATCCCCAAGTTTGGCATTGAAACTTGAATCCAACATAATGTTGCTAGATTTAATATCCCTATGTAGCACGCACTGTTCCCACTCTTCGTGAAGATAGAGCAAAGCAGAGGCCAAACCGTGAACAATTTTGTACCTCATTGCCCATGTCAATAAGCTTTGTCCTTTGAAAAGATGGGAATCTAAGCTACCATTTGGCATGAACTCATAAACGAGTAACAGCTCATTTTTTTCATGGCACCAACCAATGAGCTGCACCAGATTCTTATGCCTTAATCTGCTAATGATCTTAACTTCTGATGCATACTCTTTAAGCCCTTGCTCAGAACCTCTTGACACCCTCTTCACAGCAACATAAGAAGCCAACTCTCTCAAGAAACCTCTATAAACCCCACCAAACCCTCCCTCTCCAAGCTTTTCTTCATTTGCAAAGTCATTTGTAGAATGAGCCAACTCACCGTAGGAAAACTTCTTTGGCCCGATACCCTTCTCAAATTCATCATCCATGGATAGATTGACGACAAATGCCGCATCTTCTTCTTTTCTTCTACTCCCTTTCTTCCACAAGCTAATGGATATCAAACCCAATCCACCAATAAAAACACATGTTCCAACAATTAATCCTGCCACTAGAGCTGATTTGTTTTCCTTCTTTACTTTGGGTTCAGGGCTTGGCGTCACTGGCACTGTTTTTGTTGAGCCTGGACTGGGGCTTGGTGTCACTGGCACTATTTTTGTTGAGCCTGGACTGGGGCTCGGTGTCACCAGTGCTGGCTCTGTTGAACTGAAACTCCATGATTTAATAGTATGCTTCTCATAAGAGTCCCCTGTTGAGGCTGAGAAGCCAAAGTCAACCCATTCTGGCAAGCACTTTCTCAGATCAACTTTATGACTAAGGTTACCTTGTTGAACAATGCCGTTACCAAAATAACTAGTGAAGCCAACACTCAGAATTTTGGAATCCGAACTATAACTAATCCAAGCTTCATTTTCTCCCCCGTGAGTAATATTTCCATACCATATTGAAGTGTTAACAGATCTCATAGACTTAACATCAATACCTACATGAGAGCTGTCCAAGGCGTACGGGTCAAAGGCAACATTCATGTAAGTGTCGAACTCCACAGCAACAAATGGAGTAGTGGTAGAGTTCATTGTTATATTGTCGACTGGAAGACCAAGGCCACTGCCTGGTGTGACAAGGATATCAGAATTGGATATGTTTGGGACAAGAAAGAATGCAAGCCCATCGCCGTGGTTAACTGAATCTCCTTCTGAATTAATGACAAAGGAGAAATGGGTGGTGAAATCTGCCATGTTTTGAGAAGCCTTGTCCCAAAGGTGCAGTGGTTTGACATATGTGGATCGGCCAACTTTCTGCGTTTGCGGTTGGCCACGCTCATCGGGAGTGACTTGGAGGCCTTGTTCTGTGATATAAGCGTCTGGGTAGGCTTTAATGTTGACATTTTGATCTCTGCCTGTGATTTTAGGGATGTTGAATTCTAGAGGAGTTGCATGGGGGAAGATCATGAGAAAAAAGGTGATGATCATGAAGAAAATATAGAGAAGCTTCTTTGGTAATTGTACAAGGCTACTGTCATTGCAAGAGTAGTAGTACTTGCAGAGTCTGACCATGATTTATAATTTGATAACTAGCTAGGAACAGTACTAAAGATGGGAGTTAGTTTGGATTTATTTGATTAAGCTTGCAGGTTGACAGGCTTAGTATATCAGATCTGGATTCTCTCTGGCGCTTAAAAGAGTCCTGTACTCCGTCAAATGTGGAGATTGCATCAATCAGGTGAACTTCACAATTTCAGCATTTGTGGAAGTCTTAGATGGGAGAATGGAACTCCCTGCCGGCCAGCTAATATCACAATTTTTCTATATATATAAATATTTACATATCCGTGTGTATGTGTTTGTGTAGTTAATTAGTTATACAGGAGGAAAGTTGAGCATTGACTTGACCATAGAAAATGCAAAGCGAAGTTGAATAATAGACTTGAATATATATATATAGTTTTTTTTTTCTTGGATAAATTTAAAATTGTACTCCTTATTGTCACAACCCGCTCGCCGTGAGAACAAGAGATACTTACCAAACACCTCCAATATTTCATAATCTACTTGCCTCAGACTAAGCTAAATTTAAAACTGAAAATCCAAGGTCTCCTCGTTGTCAAACATCATATAACCCATAAACTATACCTATGACGACAAAATTTAATAGTAAAGTTTCCAAAGGTTGGAACCATCCAAATTACTCTGTACCTAAACGCCAATTATATAAGGTATAAAAGAGCCAAGATATGTACAGAGGAGCCACAATAGCCAAAGGCAAAAGCCAAACCAATAGCTCACAAAAACAAAATAGTTGCAAAATACACTCCTCTACTCTCTCTCTCTCTATATATATATATATATAAATAACATTACGTGGTTTCAAATAGTTGCAAAATACTATGTAATTAGAAAGATAACACGCTTTCTGGGGTACATTGCTTCAACAGTGTGTCAGAAAGATACAATATTTACAATAATTGTAAAAGAAAAAACTTCTTTGATGAAGATTCTTTTGTAAAATTCGGATAAGATTGTGGCACACAAACTCTGGATCTTGCATTGCCACAAACAATCAGACCAGTTCAAACAAGAAAGTCACAAAATGGCAAGAAACAGAAATTGAAATTCAAGAATTGGAAATAAATTAACTGAAGTAAAAATGATTGCAGTTTACCTGATTGTCACTAACAGTCTCAATTGAACCATCAACAAGGCGGATTATCCTCAGTTCTGTAGAAAAAAAAAAAAAAAAAAAAAAAAAGCCCCAAAGCGACACCACGGTGGCCCACCGACCTCCTGTGACCGGAGGAGACTCTTGACGAAGGCTAAGAGGACCGGTGATGGCATTATCTGTGAGTATGAAGAAGCCATGTCTAGTAGAAGAAAATAGAGCATTGGGAATCTCACCCTCTCAAATGGTTGAGCAGCCCTTCGGTGCTCTCCAAATTTTTGATAGCCAAAGTGCCATAGGGCCTTTGGCTCTCCCATAAAATAAAAATAAAAAATTATTTTCTTTTAGCAAAAAAATGAAAATCAACTTATTGAGCCAATAAAAGTTATAAAACTGTTTAGGCAGTGTGAACGAAGTGGGCTCTCAATTCAGTCTTGTGCAGAATTTTTTTTGAATTTCTACATTTTTTTATAGCTAAAAAAAAAAATAATAAGATAAAATAAAATTTAAAAAGCAAAAAATCAGCCATTGCCCATTTTAAAAGAATTGGACCCTTCACAAAAGGAGAGGGTGCCAAATGCCAACGTTTCGGATATCCTGCTTTTATCAAAAGGCTCCGTGGTATGCCCGAGATGATGACAATTTGGGGGTAGGTTATACCTTTTTACAGAGTGACCTCTGTTGCGGCTTCTTTCGTTGGTCAACATGTTTGCTGACAGCGGCTGCTCAAGTTTATGTGCTTGCGGTTGAGGCATGTAAGCGCAACGAGAATCTTAAGAGAATCTCTTAAGCATATACGATCATTTAATTATAATCTTCTTAAGAAATTATGTCCAATTCTTCGGCTAAATATCACTACTCCATTTAAAATAATCAGTAAGAGAGTTTAAAATTGATGATAACATATTCGTCTAATTGAAGAAATTTTATGATTTGATATAGTAGATAAACTCATATATGTTTATTGGTTAACAAATAAATTTGATAAATTAGTCATTTTCCTTGGTAATATATTTTTAAATGGTCACCATCTGTATAACATTTAAAATAATCTTTTTTTGTCTTCTTTTTATTTCATACCATGAGGTCCATGAGTATTTATCTAATTTTACAACACCCAGAGTCCATACTCCGTAGTTGGTAAATTGAGAGAATATGTTGTCCCAAAAAAATAATAATACAGGAAGTGTTTTGCAATTTTGTTAAACTATGTAGAGTTTAGTGTAATAAATAAGTTAGAGAGATGGAAGAGGCTGCTTCCTGGATTGTCTGTGAGTCAGGCTGTGACTTACCCGGGGGTCGGGACTGATGTTGCGGTTGCAGTATTCAGGCTTGGATCTACCTTATAAATATAAGAGAGAGGTTTGGTGAAAAAATGAAATTTACTCAGAATTTAAATTGTTGAAATTTAAATTGGTGAATTTGATGAAGGAGATATCAGCACACCAATTCATAAGTATTGTTTGAAATCTTGTCCATCAGAATTAGAATCACTAAGGGCTTTGTGATCCAATGATATTTTCTCTATTTTTTAACGTAAATGGTGAGAATTCAAGTTTTGAAATGAGCAAAATTGTGTTTTTGTCTAATGGCCAAAAATAAATAAATAAATAAATTTCAGAATCAGAATCTGCAGATAATTTTGGGCTGGATGCTTCAAGAAGCTTTCCCATTTCATGAAGAAACCCAACCCACTCCACTTAATTCCTTTTTTCTATGTAGGCCAAATTCGGCCCAAATGGCTTGAGGCCCATTCTACCTGCAAATAATTATTTTTTTATTTTTGGAACACAAGTGTGCGCACGTCTCTCACTTCCGCTCATCTCTCACAAATTCACAATCCAGCTTCACGACCGTCCACTCAAGTTCGCGCCCGTCCACTCAGAGGTACAAGGTTTCAAACTCTCTTTTTTTTTTCTTCGCCAATTAAAGATAGATATGATTTTTTTTTTTTTTGGTAGATTGATGTCTAAATATATATTGAAGATTTTGTTATTTTTTTGTTTCAAATCTGCTCTGTAATAAGTTTGTGAACTTCTGATGTGCACTCAATCTCTAAAGATAGTGTGTTTCTTGTTTAATCAGTGTATGCATATCCTTAATATGGTATGATTTGTTCATAAATTTATCTACATATCAACATATGTATAAATATTGTGCAATATCAGAACTTTGGTTTTAAAATTGAAGCTCAAACAGTATTGTTTGACATGGTGTTTAGAGCCACTTTAATTGAATGGGTTGTTGGTAAAATATTACATCTCTTATTTGATTTTCTTTGCTTCTGTGGTACACCTTGAATGTGACAGTTGGCATTCTTCTAGATCCCTATACTCAGCATAGACTCTGGCGACCCTAGTATATAATTTTTTTTTTTTTTTTTTTTTAAATGCCAATTTATAGACTAGGTCTGGTATTTTGGTTCCATATTCACCATACATATTTTCCTTTTTGTTTCTCCTTGTCTCATTTTGCATTTTCTTGCCTGTTATTAAAAATGAGAAGTTGTCACGTTTTTTTGTGATTGCTTTATCCAATTACCTGTTTCTTTGATGTTGCATGACATGCTATACTGTTCATCCATGCTCCTGCCAAGAGTGATCAATGAAATTATCTTATTTTGGTAGTTACTAGAACTTGGTCATGATTTGTGTAAGATCTAGCATGTAATGTTAGCATTATCCAAATTGTTATGACAAACGCAAGGAAATCAAGTTGAATGAAAAATCACGACAGAAAAGTAAATAAAGAACACAAAGATTTAGACATGGTTCGGCAACAGCCTACATCCACGGTTGGGATCTGGTGAGATTACCAATTTCCAACCCCTCACTTTGTTTCTATACGAATTTTAGAGTCTACCACTCTAAACCCAAAATGCCGTTATATATCGGGTTACAATAGACTAATTAGGATTCACAACTCATGAGCAAAACGGGTCGTTTGGCCCACAAAAAACTCGTCCAACGGGTCATAAGATCGGGCCAAAATATCACACAAATATAAATTTGGGTTCTTGTATTTTTGTTTTCTCAAATTCTTACCACTTTTAAATTTTAGTCAATGTGTATATATATATATATATATATATATATATATATATATATTGGGTTACCAAACATTTTTCTGCTTCCTGCTTTCAAAAATTCAACCACATATGTATGTTGCTAAATCGTGTTTCCGCTTTTGACAGAAATGATAGCATAGCAGAACCATTGCTTCCAAAAAGTCTATATAAATACATTTTGTAGCATTTGTCAGTGCCTTGTTTATGTAACATATGTGTTTACCCATTTGATAGTTTAAAATTTGAAGTCATTCTAGCAGTATTTGAAATGATTTACAAAGAGTTTGCATGAAAATTACGCAACATTTACCGTGCTAAAGAAACGAAAGAACAGGAGAAAAAATAATGCAGAATTCCAATACAATAGACCTCAATTACATGACAATCATGAACTTCATATTCTTCAAATCACCTTACCGTGTATGCAAAAGAGATGCAGTTGCAGAGGAAATTGTAGAAGACGTGGTAAGCTTTGAGGAATCAGTATTGTAACTGCCGCTCGAATAATGGATTTGGTTACTCTCAGAGACAGTGATATCAAAGGATAATGAAAATGAAGATACAGGTGCATTCACTGGATCAGGGGCAAGATATGTTGGTACGGGCATCTTTGATGGGAGAACGGGAAGTGGAGTTTCAAAATTAAGCACATGAATTGCCTGTCTAATTGAAGGCCTGAGATTGTAATCAGGATGAGCACACCAAAGCCCAACAATCATCAAACATTTGATCTCTTGCTCATCAAAATCGGCACATAATTTGGGATCTACTGCTTCAAGAAGCTCTCCTGTTCCATAGAGGTCCCAAACCCACTCCACCAGTCTTGATTGAGTTTCTGGTGCCCTGAGATTAATTGGTTTTCTTCCACATGCTATTTCCAGTGCAACGATTCCCAAGCTGTAAACATCTGATTCCTTACTAGACTTGCCCGTAAGGACACATTCAGGAGCCATGTAGCCCATTGTCCCTGCCAAAAGTGTTGTTTGGGATCCTTTTTCATGGTCAACGAGCCTGGCTAGCCCAAAATCCCCAACTTTGGCATTGAAATTTGAATCCAGCATAATATTGCTTGATTTAATATCCCTATGCAGCACGCATTGTTCCCACTCTTCGTGAAGATAGAGCAACGCAGAGGCCAAGCCATGGAAAATTTTGTACCTCATTGCCCATGTCAATAAGCTTTTTCCTTTGAAAAGATGGGAATCTAAGCTCCCATTTGGCATGAACTCGTAAACAAGTAGTAGCTCATTTTTTTCATGGCACCAACCAATGAGCTGCACCAAATTCTTATGCCTTAATCTGCTAATGATCTTAACCTCCGATGCATACTCTTTAAGACCTTGCTTAGAACTTCTTGAGACCCTCTTCACCGCAACATAAGAAGCCGTCTCCCTCAAGAAACCTCTATAAACACCACCAAACCCTCCCTCTCCAAGCTTTACTTCTTCATCAAAGTTATTTGTCGAATGAGCCAACTCACTGTAGGAAAATTTCTTTGGTCCAATACCCTTCTCAAATTCATCATTCATGGATAGTTCAAAGACAAATGCCGCTTCTTCTTCTTTTCCTGCACTCCTTCTCTTCCACAAGCAAATGGCAATCAAACCCAATCCACCAACCAAAACACATGAGCCAACACCTAATCCCACCACTAGTGCCGTCTTTCCTTTAGGTTTGGGGCCTGGACTGGTGCTTGGTGTCTCCGGCACTGGATCTGTTGAGCCTGAACTGGGGCTCGGTGCCACTGGTACTGGCAGATCTGTTGAACTGAAACTCCATGATTTAATGGCATGTTTTTCGAAAGATGCTCCGGTTGAGGCTGAAAAGCCAAAATAAACCATTTCCGGCAAGATGACACTCAAATCAACAATGCAACTAAGGTTATCTTGTCGAACTATTGCATTATTTACAATACTAGTGAAGCTGACACTCAAAGTTTTCGATCTAGAATTATAAGTAATCGATGCTTCATTTTCTCCCCCTTGAGTAATATTACCATACCATATTGAAGTGTTAACAGATCTCAAAGAGCTAAGATTGATACCTACATGACTGTCGGTCTGGTTGTATGGATCCCAATCATTCTTAAAAGTGTCGAACTCCACAGCAACAAATGGAGTGGTGGCGTTAATTGTGACAGGGTCGATTGGAAGACCAAGAGCACCTCCTTTTGTGTTGAGGATAGTACTTATATTCGAAACATAGGGAAGCAGGAAGAATGCAAATCCATCGCCGTGGTTTAAACTTCCTCCTGAATCAATGACAAAGGAGAAATTGGTGGCGAAGTCTGCTATGTTTTGAGAAGCCTTGTCCCAAATGTGCAGAGCTTCAATATATGTGGCTCGACCAACTTTATCTGTTGGCGCTTGGCCGCGCTCGTCTGGGGTGACTTGGAGGCCTTGTGCTGAGACATAAGAGTCTCCGTAGACTCTTATTTTGACGTTTAGATCATTGCTTGTGATTGCAGGGATGTTGAATTCTAATGGTGTTGCAAGAGGGATGATGAGAAGAAAGAAAAAGGTGATCATGAAGAAAATATAGAGAAGCCTCTTAGGTAATTTTACAAGGGTACTGTAATTGCAAGAGTAGTACGAGTACTTGCAGAGCATGACCATGGTGGTTAGCTAGTTTTGGATTATTTGATTAAGCTTAAAGATCCACATGCTTGGTGTATATGCGTGTCAATTATGTTATTGATAAATTATAACTGCAGATCAGTTCTTGAGATATGTTGAATCAGTCTTTGTATACCTTCTCTTTATCTTTTGGGATAAATTATTTTTTTTTTATTTTTATTTTTTCTGTTTTATTTGAAGAAGGAGACGAAAACAAAACATTGCTTGGACAGGTATTTCTTCTTAAAAAATACTGAAGCATACGCAATTTACGCGTTTGTGGGCGTCACAGATTTGAAAAAAACTCCTTGCCGGCTACCATCGTAATGGCCGCTATGAAATAAATTGATAACAAACCACCTAAGTTCCTAACCTAACTACCAACCAAAAATATTATATATATATATATAGAGAGAGAGAGAGAGAGAGAAAGAGAGAGAGGTGTTATATATGGAGGAAGGTGGAGGCTTGGAGCATTGACTGACTTCACCATATAAAATGCAGGATTTTGGATTGTGAAAAAGTTTAAGGGGAGATTTCATTATCACAGAGGATGTGCCATGATAGGTGAAGTTTATTTTATTATTTTATTTTTGGTGCTAGTTAAAGAATTATTATTTTTATTTTGTTTTATTTTTGGTGCTAGTTAAGCCAACACAAATGGATTTGGTTTCTTCCACATGCTATAATTTGATCCAGTGCTACAACTCTAAATTAATTGTGCAAAGAGGATGGCGGGATGTAAATCAATGTTCAAATATTTGATCAAATTAAAACTGTAAAGCTGGGTAGTTTAATATTTAATCTATTAATATAAATGTCATGCTTTTTTTTTCTCGTATAATTTTTTTTTTATTTAAAATTCATTCTTATATCTTTTTGAGATGAATTAGTTGTGACCCCTTAAGGAATGCACTTATAATGTAATTGATCATGTTAATGTGGAAAATTATGAACTTATTGTATAATGCCAACAGTAATTAAGATAATTTTAGAGTTTTAAGAATAACTCCAACAAGTGCAGGTTATTGCCAACAAAAAATTGGCATCAATGTGACTCCAACAAAAGCTAGAGCTCTCATATATGCACTAATGTAAAAAAAATAAATAAATAAATAAATAAATAAATAAAAAATCACCCATAATGTTTACATTTTGGACAAATAATACTCCGGCGACAAGCTTTCATCCTTGCAGGATGGCAAACACCCACAGATCCAGACCCTTCTCATTAGATTCCATCACCGGTGACAGGAATGACACCGCCTTCTATATGCACCATCATTAATGGCGTCCCGAGCTCGCCATCCTTCACCGTCGCCAATAGCCACCAACAGCTAGGTTTGTGATGTGTCTTTGTTTGATGATACGTTGTGTCAACTAAACAAAAGGGTATAATAGGAAGAGAAAAGGGCAAATTAGGGTTTTTAAATTTACTTTAAGTTAATTTTGACTAAAAAATGATTAGAGAGTCTTATTTGCAATTTTTTTAAAAAAAAAATTTTATGGACAACAATACATATTTTTTAAAAGGGGAAATTATTTATGCACAAAGTCTATACTAGAGGGATTTTTTTGCACTTATCCCTTTTCTTTTTTAGTTTCTTTGTATACTTGTTGAATAAGGCATTCTTCAAGTTTGAAAGAATCCGAAAGTTCATATAATCTCTGAATTTGTGGGTCTCACTCACATGGGGATGGGATTGACACTGAATGCTGAGATAACTCATAAGGACCGGTACCTTTCTGGATTTTCTAAATAGATTGATGACAAGTTAATTACCTATTCAAAGTATAGGTATTGTAGAAATTGAAAACAGGCTGAAGTGACTTATATATGTACATTGCAAACTACAAATTTTGGACTTGGAGTCATTTCCCCTTATCAACGGGAACTTCTACATTTCAATCAAACTAACAAACGTGAATTAAATTCCAGTCCCGTGGTTTTTATTCAATGCATTGTAGTTCAGAGTTAGTTTATCCTTTGTGTCTATTTTGGATAGCTAACCATAGCAGAAAAAAAATGTTTGTGAATTGATTGGGAAAACCATACAAGCTTATACTAGTAGAAGAACTAAATGTGGAGCAATTTTATAATGTTGCGTTTGGTGTGCAGGATTGGAATGAAATGGAATGGAATGGTCATTTTCATTTTATTGTTTGGTTGTAAATATGAAATGTGTAGGAATGGAATGATAATAACCATTCTAGTGTTTGGTTAAACCAATTTTAAATTTAGAATGGAATAAATTTCAAATTGCATTCTCCAAAATATCCCTGTTAGTAAAAAATAAATTAAATTAACAAAATGATATTCTTCTATAATTTTTTTTAAAATAAATGGTGGTAGTGGCGGTGGTGGATGGTGGTGGAGTTGGAAAGCGGTAGTGGTGTAGGTGGTGGTGTTGGAAGGCAGCAACGCTGGCAATGGTGGAAGGTGGCGAAGTTGGTGAAAGGCAGTAGTGGTGGAAGGCGGTAGCAAGAGTGTTGGTGGTGTTGGAAGGAGATAGTGATGTAAGTGGTGGTGGTGGAAGCCAATGGAGGTGACTGTGGTTGTGGTGGAAGGTGGTGGAAGGTGGTGGCGGTGGAAGGCGGTAACGGTTATTGAAGGTGGTAGAAGACGATGGTGGTGGTGGTGGTGGAAGGCGGTAACGGTTATTGAAGGTGGTGGAAGACGATGGTGGTGGTGGTGGAAGGCGGTGGTGGTGGTGAAAGGCGGTGGCAGTAGTGGTTGTGAAAGGCGGTGATGGTAGAAGGTAGGGGAAGGCGATGACGATGGTGGTGGTGGTGAAAGGTATGGTAGAAGGCGGTGGTGGCGGAAGGCTACGGTGGTGGTGTAAGACAGTGGCAGTGGTGAGAGGTGGTGGCGGAAGTAGAAGGTGGAAGTAGAAGGTGGAAGGCGATGGCAGTGGTGGAAAGTGGTGGTGAAAGGTGGTCGCGGAAGACGGCGGTGGTGGTGGTGGTGCAACGCGGCGGCGGTGGTGGTGGAAGGCGGTGGTAATGGTGAAAGGCAGTGGCGACAGTGGTGGTAGAAGGCGGTGGCTGTGATGAAAGGCGGTGGCGGTGGCGGTGGCATTGGTGGTGGTGGAAGGTGGTGAAAAGTGATGGCGACAATGGTGTTGGAAGGTAGTAGCGGTGGTGAAAGACGGTGGCGGCGGCGATGGTTGGGGCAAAGGAAGGCAATGTTGGTGGTGAAAGGCGGTGGCGGTTGTGGAAAGCAGTGGGTGGTGGTGAAAATCGATGGTAGTGGTGGACGGCGGTGATGTGGTGGTGGTGGTGAAAGGTGGAGGTGGTTGTGGTGGAAAATGGTGGTGATTTTTGGACTTGGAACATAAGGGTTTTTTGGGAAGTTGATGTAGTGTCTCTGATTTTTCCTATTTTTCATTTTTGGGGATTTTTTAATTTTTTAGAATTTTTCTTTTCGTACCTCGTTTTGCCTGCCGGACACAATAGGGTGTGCCGGGTGAGTCCCGAGAGTTGGTTTGGACATTTCTTTGAACTCAGGACTCTTAGAAATGCATTGCTGGCCATTTCGACGTTTTTTAATTTTTCAGGCCGAGAGGTCCAAGGCAAAACCCGCAATCGGTATTGTTGTGCGCAAAAATTATGTTAGAAATTGTGAGTGAAAATTATTTGATTAGTCATCAATAGATGTCTTTTACTGAACAGGTGTGATTACTAGTTGGTTGTGGGATGAAAAGATGCAACTTAAAATGAACAGACATAACCTATTGGAGTGGATATGTCTAGTGGTGAACAGACACCATGTGAACCAGTACAACCTATTGGAGTAGATGTGTCTAATGGTGAATGGACTCCATGTGAACCATTGCAACCAATTAGAGTGGTTGTGTCCGGTAATGAAGAGACACATATAAGTGGTTGTGTCCAATGATGAAGAGACACACCTAATCCAAAAAGGCACTTATATTTCTATAAATACCCTATTGGGCTGCCATTTGCAATTCAATTCAATTTTTTTTCTCTCCCTCTCTAAACTTGAACCCAACCCAAGTGGGTTCAAACCATAGGTCAAGTGGTCCGAGCCACTTAGACCCTAATTCAATTTCATCGAACCAAATTAAGATTGGTCCGAATCATTTGGTTCAGATTGCATCCAATTTAGCATTTATATAGTATAGATGCATTTTTTAGTCAGAGAAAGTATTACATAGAGGAGGTTCGTCGTATCCACGAGTTTGTAGTGCAGTTACTGGTGGATGTAGACCGTTATATCCTGCGAGATAGACGCCACTGCATTCGTTAGCACCATAGCGGGGTGAATCTGTCTTAAGGACATAATATCCAATACTAGCCTCAGTCCAGGTTCTTTATTTATTATTATTATTTTATTGCTTTAATTTGCATGTTTAATTAAATATTGAGTTGAATAATTAATTAATTATTTTTAGCATATTATTAATTATCTCATGGCATATTAGTATAAGGTTAGTTATATTTTAAATGTCATATGAAGCATATATTTTTCAACAATCTTAAGACAGATTTACGCCTTGCATAGATTTTATTATATGCTTCTATTTAAAATATAAACAAGTATAGATTATACTAATAATTGAGATATAATAAAATATTGTTATATACATTATTATATGATAATATGCTAAATATTGATGTGTTCAATATTATGTGAAATTGAAGCATGTTATATAAATAGATTATTGAATATTTTAATTTTGTAATATGATATTATGTAGTATATTATATTATCTTAAATTTGTGCTAACTAGATGTGAGAAAAGGTATTTCGTTACTTTTATCAATGAGTGCACAAGATACTGTTGTGTATATTTCCTATGAAGTAAAGATGAAACTTTAGAAATATTTAAATATTACAAAAATGAGGTTGAGAATCAACTTGGCAAAAAAAATCAAGGTATTAAAAAGTGACAGAGGTAGTGAATACAAAGCACCATTCGCTAACATTTATTCAGAATATGGTATTATTCACCAAACTATTGCTTCTTATTCA